TAATTTGTATCTCTCTGATGGCTAGTGATGTTGAGCATTTTTTCATATGTCTATGGGCCGTCTGTATGTCCTCCTTGGAGAAGTGTCTGCTCAGGTCCTTTGCCCATTTTTCAAATTGGATTGTTTGTCTTTCTGATGTTGCGTCACGTGAGTTCTTTATATACTTTGGAGATTAAACCCTTGTCTGATGTATCATTGGTAAATATGTTCTCCCATACAGGGGATTCCCTTTTCATTTTGAGGATGGTTTCTTTAGCTGTGCAGAAGCTTTTTAATTTGATGTTTATTTTTTTATTTGTTTTCCTTGCTCTAGTTGATATATTGGTGAAAATATTGCTACACAAGATATCTGAAATTTTAATGTCTATGTTTTCCTCTAGGATTTTTATGGTGTCGCAACTTGTATTTAAGTCTTCTATCCATTTTGAATTTATTCCAGTGTATGGTGTAAGTTGGTATTCTAGTTTCATTTTTTAGCATGAACCAGTCCAGTTTTCCCAACACAATTTATTGAAGAGACTATCTTTACTCCATTGTATGCTCTTGCCTCCTTTGTCAAATATTAATTGACCATAAAGACATGGGGTATTTCTGTGCTCTCTATTCTGTTACAATGATCTATGCATCTGTTATTATACCAGAATGTTTTGATTATAGTGGCCTTATAGATATCTGGTATTGTGATTCCTCCAACTTTGTTCTTCTTTCTCAAGATTATTGAGGCTATGCAGGACATTTTTTGGTCCATGTAAATTTTTGGAATATTTGTTTCAGATCTGTGAAATGTGCTATTGGTATTTTAATAGGAACTGCATTGAATTTATGGATTGTTTTGTGTAGTATAGACATTTTAATGATGTTAATTCTTCATGGGCACAATATGTGCTTCCACTTATTTGTATATTCCTCAATTTCTTTCTTCAGTGTCCTATAGTTTTCAGAGTGCAAGTCTTTTACCTCCTTGGTTAAATTTATTCCTATTGCAAATAGTAAATGAGATTGTTGCAATAGTAAATGGGATTGTTTTCTTAGTTCATTATTGTTGTATAAAAATGCCATAGATTTCTGAGTATTGATTTTGTATCCTGCTATTTTGCTGAATTCATTTACTAGGTCTAGTGGGTTTTTTGTGGAGTCTGTAGAGTTTATGTACACTATCATGTTATCTGCAAATAATGACAGTTTTACTTTCTTCTTTCATATTTTGATGCCTTTTATTTCTTCTTCTTGTCTGATCGCTGTGGCTAGGACTTCCAGTACTACGTTGAATAAAGAGGGGTGAAAACAGACATCCTTGTCTTGTTCCTGATCTTAAGGGAAACGCTTTTAGTTTTTGCTCATTGAGTATGATGTTGGCCTTAGGTTTTTCATATATAGACTTTATTATATTGAGGTATGACCCCTTTATTATCACTTTGCTGAGAGTTTTTATCATATAGATCAGATTTGATGAGAGAAATAGAAGAACCAGAGTGAGACAGACTGTGAGATTTTATCTTATACAGTGGGGAAGCTACTTAAAGAATTGATACTTGTGAGTTTACAATCGTCAGGGCAGGCAATGGGGTAGGAAAGATGGACGTGAAGTTGGGGGAACAACAATGATCTGAACCAGTGAGGAAGAGCTGGGGCTCTTAAGGATGAACAGGAAACCACCTCCAAGCGGCCCACTTCAGCGACACAGGTGACCTGCAAAAGAAACCACACTCCCTGTCCTGGAGCTAAACATGCACTTGGCCCCAGGAGATAGACAAGCTAAAGCGGAGATTCGTTGAGAGCCCAGAAGCCTACATCCACCTGTGTGAAGTGCCGCTGCCCTGGAGCCCCACACCCACCTCGAGAGCCACCACAGCTGCTTCATCCCCTCCTGGGACCTTGGCCAACTTGCAGGAAAGGGCAGTCTGAAACTGGTTCGGCTTAGCTCAGCTGACAGAGCACAGAGCTACCACTTTAGGTCACAATGGAGACCTGGGGCAGGGGAGTTGGGTCTGAGAAAAAAATGGCTGTGAGAGTTGATCAGAGCCAGACCAGGAATTTGGGAACCCTCCCGTGGGATCCTGGGCTGGTTTTAGATACTGTGTGTTAAGTTGGAAGTGAAGGTGGAACGTGTCCCTGGCGATGTCCTAAAGGTGTTGGGCATACTCAGTCTGGGGCAGGAGGACAGGAAACTTGGGATAGATTCTGAATTCGGTGTGTGTGAAGTAAGAGACCAGAGGCTGTGGCTGAGCCTCAGGTGATGTCTGCAGGTGAGGGGCAAATCAGGCAGAAAGGCTGGCAGAACTGTGAGGGGCCAAGGTCAGAGAGATGGGGCCACAGGGAGGTAGAGCCCTGGAAGATTGTTTGGGGACGTGGCCATTTTGGCCCTCCTTCCTGGGCAGATGCGGCTTTGATGGTGCCCATGTCGTATTCAGAGTTGGGGTATTAGGTGGCCTCCCGCAGGGACCTCTATCCAGTCTTCTGCCTCCGTGTGAGGGGCCGGTCCTGCTGTTCAGGCTCAGACCCTGCTCTGAAAGCTCGGGCACTGGAGGCTAAAGTGTGCCATAAGCCTCTGCGCTCAAGGTGTGACATTTGTCCACTCCACATGCCTTCTGAGGTCCCATTGTGTGCGGGACACTGGGCTGGGCTGGGGACCAGCCAGGAAGCATGTGTGCCTGGGCCCTGCCTGCGGGGAGCCAGGGTGCAGGCTAGTGAGGCGGAAGAGGAAACTGGGCGCTACAGTTGAGAGCACCCAGGGAGGAGGCCCCTCAGACCTGGGAGGGCATCCGGAAAGAAGTGGTATTTGTGTATGAATCTGGTCAAGCCCCTAGATCTAACTGTCATGAACAGGAAATCCAAGCATCTGACCATCATGAACAGGAAATCCAGGAACTGGCGCTGTCAGCATCCTGAAAGAGGAACCTGTTCGTTCAGCAAGCAGTGTCCTCTCAGCTGTACTGTGCAGGGAAACAAAAAGAGCGAGTGCACCTGTGGATGAAAGGAGAGTTAGTAGACGGGACAGATCATTGTGATATGTGGGCCTTGTCTGAATCCTGAGTTTTTTAAAATGATGATGAATTACTCTGCTCAGGTTGCCATAGCAAAATACCAGACTGAGAAGCTTAAAAACAACAGAACTTATGTCTCAAGTTCTGGAAGCTTGAAGTGCCAGATCAAGGTCTGACAAAGTTCCATTTCCAGGAAGGGGTCACTTCCTGCTTCCATTGTCACTTATCCTCACATGGCCTTTCCTCAGAGCCATGCCGGGGTGGGGATACAGAGGTGTGGAGGGAGAGCTCACTTCCTCTTCTTACAAGGCCACCAGGCCTATCAGATTAGGAGCCCACTCTTAGGACCTCATTTAACCTGAATTACCTCCCAAAGGCCCTTTTTCAAGATATAGTCACACTGGGAGTCAGGGCTTAAATATGTGAATTTGGGGGACACAACTCAGTCCATAGCAGATGGTATTCATAAGTGGTTGGCTCTTTGAATGCTGACTTGCTATTTGATTGTATTGAGAAACTATTGCTAAATATCTCTGAGTTATGATAATGGTGATATTGTTTCATATATATACATATCATGTACAGTTGACTCCTGAATAATGTGCGGGTAAGGTGTCCTGACCTCCCACACAGCTGAAAATCCAAATGTAATTTAAGTTGGCCCTCCACATAAATGATGGAAAATAGAGTTGAACCTTGAATAAAGTGGGTTTGATCTGCGAGGGTCATTTGAACTGTGTTTAATTGAAACTATCTGTGTATAAGTGGACCAGTGCCATTCAAACATGCATTGTTCAAGGGTCAACTATATAGAACATGTATAAAATATATGTATGTGTGCATATATAGAATGCATTACCATTATATGTATTTGTGTGAGTAAGTGGCTTGTGTATACGTCTTTCAGGTGCACAGGAAATATTTATGGGTGAAATCATCTGATGTCTGGGATTTGCTTCAAATGATGTGGGAAATGGGAGTGAATGTGGCTGCATGTGCAGCAGGACTGGCTACGAGTTGATAGTGGCTGGGTCTGGGTTATAGCTTCACTGGGGTGCCTTATATTATTCCATAATAAAAAGTTAAAACAAAAAGTGAGGAGGATCCGTAAACTTTACGGTGGGGGAGGGGACAGGCATCTGCTGGCAGGAACTGTTCCGGAGAAGCTCTGAGAGAGTGAGCTGTTGGTGTGTGGGCCCCGGTGGTTCAAAGCTGTGCCCTGCACTTTGTGTACCGAGTCCCTGCCCTGCAGGACAAAGACCAGTCCCAACAGAAGGCCTTGGCTCAGGAAGAAAGAAACCAGAAACCAGTGGGAGGGCCCCAAAAGGCCTAAGAGGCTTGAAGAAAGGAGTGGAGGCGGTGGCTGTTTGTGCTAGAAAGGCTGGAAGACCAGGTGGTAGAGGAGACATCAGGCAGAGGCAACCCCGCATGCTAGGAGCAGGGGAGCCTGAGGATGGAGCAGTCAGAACGTGGTCATCGAGGCTCCCAACTGAATCTTTGCTGAAACTGTAGGACATTCACCTTTGCTTTGCTTTGGAAACATGACTTCTGTTGTGTTCTTACTGGGTAACTTTGAGCAAATTACTTAACCTCTCTGATCCTCACTTTTTTCTTCTGTAAACTGGAAGTAGTAAGAGGACCCACCTCATAGACTGTTATGGGATTAAATGAGAAAATACTTGTAAAATACTAAAGTGTGTGTGTTAGCTATTATTATCACCAGAGTTTCAGGGAGGAAGCTGCCCTCCCCTGGGGTGATGAGGTGGAAACAGCAGCCATTAAAATGAGAGTACCCTGTGGGGAGGTGAGAACACCATGTACTCCTCCCTGCCAGTCCTTTACATGCTTGTGGTTATTTTTAATTAAAAAAAAAAAAAGTCTGTTTTCTTACAGTAGTGAACAAGGTCAGAAGCAGAAAAAAAGTTGTTGAGAGAGGACCAAGTAGAAGCCACTGGACCCTGTGAGAGAGAAAGCATGGTTGGCCAGAGATGCTCTGGCCAATAATCCAGCCAAGGGCCCAGCTCCAGAAACTACCTCTGGGCCCCATTGGCCCCCTGTTGTGTGCTTTCTGGAAGTGGAGGTCTACAGGAGTGAAAGGTAAGCCCCTGGGAGGGGGAGTGGGACCGAGCAAGTTCCTCCCCCTTCAGGGAGCACCAGCCTTTCCCCTTCAAGGCTGTGGCTCTGGAACCACTTCCTCCTTCTTCACTCTGAAGCCAGGAGCAGGCCTGGGGAGCTCTCCCGAAAGACAGGAGCAGATTCCCGATGCTTTAGCCCACCTGTGACCCCTGGTGGGGGTGGCTGAGCGTGCTGGCTGGAGGCCTCTCGCCCTGCCTCAGGCGACCCTGGAAGCCTGTAGGATGGAGGGGGCAAGGAAGGAAAATCTGGCCTCCGTGTCCAGTCTGGTGACTATATTTGAGAACAACAGGTACGGGGTGGTGGGGATGGGAAGGATCACCATGGCCAACCAGCAGCCTCCCTTCAGCTCCTCCGCCCACCCTGGGACCCTGGGCAGCACAGGCTGAGGAAGAGGACCAGGGCCGCCTTGAGCCCTCAGTGAGCAGCCCTCTCTCTGGGTCCTGTCCCGGACACCCCCTCCTGACTGGGCAGTGTCACGTCGCTTGGTCATGGGTTCCTCAGAGCACAGGAGAATGTTGTTCAGGCACTAAGGAGCTTAGTAGGGATGAGAGTGTGTGTTAATGTGTTGAGGAGAGTCTAGGTGTGCGTAATTTTAAGTAAGAGTGAGCTGCAGAACTCCACCCACTGCCCCTCCAGCAGAAATTAGAGCTAATACTTATGAAACACTTACTCCTTATGACTAGAATAACCATATAATTTATCTCTCAAACCAGGACATGCTTGATGCTGAATATGAATGCCATTAATTTTTTTGGTGGGGTGGGCAATAGGAAAATCTGAGGCTGTGTCAGGCAAACCAGGGTGTATGGTCTGCTTACCTTTGGGGCACTGTTCTAAGTGTATTTTGGTACTTCGTCTAATCATCTAAGAGCCTAATGGGGGCAGGGGGAGGTTCTGTTTCTATTCTCATCTTATAGATGAGCAAATAAAAGCACAGGGAGGTGGGGAGGCTTTAAGTGCTTTAAGTTTGATGGCAATGGGTGATTCCGTCTGAAGGAGCTTCCGTCTGAAGGAGAAAGGCTGGGTCAGATGTGTGGAGGTCATTGGTGGCTTTGTCAGGGGTGGTGCATGTGTGCGTGCATGCGTGTGACACTAATCCACTCTGCAGGCATGACAGGGACTGTCACAGGTGGGTTCTCCGGAAATAGGCTCCGAGGCAGAGATTTACTTCAGGAGCTTTCTGGAGGAATGCAGCATGGGGCAGAGGGACAAGCTGCACTGCTATGCACTTGCAAAAGAGGTTCCAGCCTGGCTCAGGGAGCTCCGAACTGGGCTGCCCCTCAGGTTGTTCCAGTTGAGCAAGGGCTGAGTCTTTTTACCCCACATGCACTAGTCATTGGATGTGGACTTAACCTTGGGTGAGGCACCTCTCTTCCAGGAGGGCAATTCCCAGACAGGAACCCAGGCAACAGCCCATCAGCCACCAGGGTAACACAGCACAGCGTCGCACAGGAATTGTAGCAGATGTGGGAGCCTAAAGAATGATTCCTGTCAGGGAGATTTTTATTTTCCGATGCTAAGCTCATGGAATTAGCACGATGCCAGCTCATGGACAACAGATATCCTGGGAGGGACCCAGATTCTTGCTGAGGGCACTCAGAGCAGACTAAGCCTCCAGTGGGCTTCCCGGCGGAAGTGGCATAGATGTGGACCTAGAGGGCAGCTCAACTTTCTGAACCCGGTGACCTCACCCTGCCTCTCCCAGGGTCCTTCGCCAAGCACATTCTGTTCAGCACCGAGGACAGCTCTAGGAGGCCCCTTCCAGGCCCAAGGAAGAGTTGGAGAGCTGGCCTCGCCCATCCCAGCGCTCCAGGCATCCCAGTGGAGACCTTCAGCATGTGTGTCCTGCCCAGCAACATTCCTAGCGGGAGGGGGCAGCCCTCAAACCAGAATGCAGTCAGAGCAGGCCCTGTCAAGAGGGTGAAAGCCTCCCTTTACTGTGTGAGGGGCCCCATGCCAGCTGCCTGGGCCTGGGCTTTCTTGCAAGGTCTTCCAGCACTTTTGCTGATCTGAAACTGAGGGGCGAAGAGGAAAGAGAAGCTGGCTTGGGGCACTTGGAGAGAAATGCAGAAGCTGAAACCACATGTAGAACAGAAAGCTTGAGGCCCAGCTGCTTCCATGAACTGTAGACACACAGGCTGAGGAACCAGGCACTGGGGCACTAGAGAGGGATGGGAGAGCCTGTGAGGGGCCATCGGGGCTGGGTCCCCATCCTCTCTCTGCTACAAATCAGCTGTGTGACTTGGGACAGGTCGCATTGACTCTCTGGACCTATTTCTCCTTGACTTCAATGGGGAAGGGCAGTTTGGGGTGAAGGCTCAGGAGCCAGCCTGCCTGATCTGAGTCTCACCTCTGCCACCCCCTGGCTGAAAGTGACTTATCCTCTCTGGACCCCACTTTCCTTAGGTGAAAAGTGGGGGTAACAAAACTTTCACAGAATCTTGGAGATTTTGTACCTGGCAGGTTGCGCATTTCCCAGCCTGTCTTTCTCTAAAGGATGCCTCTGCTGTCCTCACAAGACTTTCCACAGCAAGGGGAAAGGGATACTGCCCAAATCGTTGGAGATATTCTGCGAGGGTGGCCTCTGTTATCTAAAGAATTTAACTGGCCTGCAGACCCAGCAGGTAGAGTGACAGAGCTCTACCAAGACCCACCGCTGGGGGTACAGGGAAACTGCTCCCAGACTGGCCTTCTCCCCCAGCCCCACTACAGGTATGTGGGGCACAGCTCGCGCTGAAAAACCTCAGCGTCAGCAGCTCTACCATTCCTTCACAGCGTTCTATGACTCCCACCTTCCCTCGGTGTTTCAGTTACTAAGGTTCTAAGGCTTTCCCTGCTGCAAAGACTAAAAGCAGGGGTGAGGTCCTCAGGTGAGAGTGATTGGCGGCCAGGGGTTTGAGGCACTTCAAAGCCTCTGTGTGTGCTCCTGGCTGCATTTTAAACAGGGAAGTACGTAGTTCCCCAGAGAACAAACACAGTTCGTGCTGACTCATTTTGAAGACTGGAGTTCCCTCAAGAAAGTATTGGGAGGGAAGTGGATGTTTTACTTAACAAATTCCTGCTGAGGGCCCGGGGGCGCTCAGGGGCCACAGCACCCTTGTGATTTGCATTAATCACCCTGAAATCCTGACCAGGGAGGTGCTATTCTTTTCCCCACTCCACAGACAGGAAACCCTCAGGCATGCTCTCTTCCCAGGATGCACGGAGCAGAGCCTGGAGCCCACACGCTGGAGGCCAAGCATCACCGCCCTGCGTGCAGCCCTCCCCCACCTGCTGGACCATGGGAGAAGCCCAGCGCAGAGGAGGCCCTGGGCTCTGGGCCCAGGACGGTCAGCAGGAGGTACCTGAGCTCCCTGAAGAACAAGCTGTCCAGTGAGGCCTGGAGAAAATCCTACCTGCCCAAGACCTGCTCCGGGCCAGGGACACAGGTGCCTGAAGGCTGGGGTAGAAGTGGGGAGCTGGGCGTCCCTGCACTGACCTCCTCTCCACACACTCTTCCAGGCAGAGCCCACACTCCCCCAGCTGGAAGCTAAATTCTCCCCGTTGAAGGCTTTTGATGAAGTGACTAGCGTGCACCCCACTGCCGGTATTGTTTCACATATCCCTCAGGGTAGGAGTCTTTTAGGCAAGGAAATGCAAACTCAGATAGTTTAAGGAACACAGCTTGGGACAGTCTCCACTTATAAACCAGGTACTCATTCCAGGTGTGGCCTAGTTTACCCACTGAAGGAAGCACCAATCCCAACTAGAAATGGAGGTTGGTACTAATTCCTGCCCTTAGATGGGTCCTGGGAAGGTCACTTCCTTTCTCTGGGTTTCACTTTCCTTGTCTGTGCAGTTCAAAGGTTAGGCTGCACGATACTTGGACCTGAAGCCAGGCTGTCAGGGATCATGTCCCAGCTCTTCTGCTTACTGTGTGACCTTGGACAAGTCACTTTAACCTCTTTGGATGATCATAATAGAATGTTTTGGTTATTAATTGCTACATAACAAACCACCCCACAATGCCATAGCCAAATGCAATTCATTATGTCTTACAATTTTCTGGGTTGACTGGAATACTATTGGTTGGTTTTTCTTTTATTTTTTTAAACAGTTATTTATTTATTTATTGTCTTAGAGAGAGGGGAAGGGAGAGAGAAAGGGAGGGAAAGAGACATCGATGCGTGAGAGAAACATCAATCGGTTGCCTCTTGTACACACCCTGCTCCGGGACTGAACCCACAACCCAGGCACGTGCCCCAACTGGGAATTGAACCAGTGACCTTTCACTTTGCAGGACAACACCCAACCAGCTGAGCCGCATTGGTCAGGGGTGGGTGGTTTTTGTGTTGGTCTCACTTGAGGGTTTGTCCTAGTCAGCTAGGGCTGCCATAAGAAAATACCACAGACTAGGTAATTTAAGCAACAGATTTATTTTCTCACAGTTCTGGAGACTGGAAGTCCAAGATCAAGGTACTGGCAGGGTTGGTTTCTGGTGAAGCTTCTCTCCTTGGCTTGCAAATGGCTCACATGGTCTTTTTTCTGTGCACAGTTTTCCTGGTGTCACTTCCTCTTCTTATAAAAACACCAGTGGATTAGGACCCTAACCTTAAGACTTCAATTAAACTTAACTACCTCCTTAAAAACCTGTCTCTAAACACAGTCACATCAGAGGTTAGGGCTTCCACATAAGAATTTGAGGGAGACACAGCTTAGTCCACGACAGGGTCTTTCACACGGTTGCAGTCAGAGGCCCCAAAAGCTCAGCCCTCCAGCCGGGACAGCCGAAGGCTGGGTTCAGCTGGAAGGCAGCACGGCCAGGAGTCGCAGGGCATCTCCTCTCCGCGAGGTCTCTCCATCAGGGCAACCAGACCTTCAGACAGGGTGGGTCAAGGATCCCAAGAGAGCACAGGCAGAAGCTTCCAGGCCATTTGGGGCTTTGGCACAGCCTCACTTCTGCCCTATTCTCTCAGTTAAAGGGAGACCAGCCCAGATGTACTATGGGAAAGCTTGAATGCTGGGAGGTATGTTTCACAGGGGCATCTTTGGAGACCATGCCCCAGGTCCCCATCAGAGGAGACCAAAGCTCTCCCTCTCGTTCTCCCCCAAACCCGCTGCAGGAGCCTGAGGAGAAGAGAATCATCCAGGAGCTGCTGGAGACGGAGCAGGCCTACGTGGCACGACTCCACCTGCTAGACCAGGCCAGTGGCTAGGATGCCCCAACCTGAGCCCCAGTACCTGGGTCTCCCCACCTCACCCCTGCTTTCCCTCCCTACCCACCTCACCAGAGCTGAGAGTTAGGGCCCCTGGATTTGACTCTGGGAAGCCTGAGTCCTCTAACCCCGTGGGCGACAGCTGGGGCAGAAATCAGGAATAGCCCTTTAGCGCCACTCCCCATTCCAACCGTGAGGCCTGGCCTCACCTGCGCAGAGTACACACCTGCCAGTCCTCCCGGGCCCCACACGGCCTCCTCATCTGTCATCCCAAGGCAGACGTCCTCACCGTTAGCACTCCCTCACACCTTCTTACGGAGCCCCAAGGCTAAAGGGTTAAATCGCTGAACATCAGCAGAGGAATCTTTAGCTCGACAAAGTCTAAGGCCCGGACAAACCCCGGACTGGCCCATTTCTGACGTTCATCAGCTGCCAGCCTTTGACCAGGTCCTTGAATCTCTAGGGCAGGATTTGCCCATCTGTAAAGTGGCCAGAATACAATCTTCTCTGCCTATGTCTTCTGGGGTTGTTATGAGGATGATGGGAGGTTAGGAAGGTGAAAGCATTCAAAGCTGGGAGCTTGACCCTGGGGCTGTGCTTGTGCCCCCTTGGTTGCTCTGGGTGGCTCCCCCTCTGCCGCAGGCCCAGTGACCCTGGGGTGGCTGCAGGTGTTCTTCCAGGAGCTGCTGGAGGAGGCCCGCAACAGCAAGGCCTTCCCCGAGGACGTGGTCAGGCTCATCTTCTCCAACATCTCCTCCATCTACCAGTTCCATGCACAGTTCTTCCTCCCAGAGCTGCAGCGGCGGCTGGATGACTGGTGAGGTCCCCCAGGAGCCCGAGACCCTTGGCTGCAGCCCCAGCCAGATCGGGGTGCAGCCCCCAGGGCACTTGTTGTGTGGCCATGACAGTCTCCTGTTCAGGGCTGTCTACAGAGCAAGGGGCTGGATGAATGAGCCCTGGGATGAATGTGAGTGTGTGAGTGTGTGAGTGTGTGTGTGTGTGTGTGTGTGTGTGTGTGTGTCCTGGGAAGGGGATGGATCAGGTCCTGTTAGGCTGGGTGACTTCGGCAGCTGTACTGAGGGCTTCCTACGTGCCTGGCTATGGCCTTTACACCTGTTAACTCAATCTTCATATCAGCGTCCTGGGTGATGATGGCATTGTGGTTATGCAAGAAACTCTTTGTTTTCAGAAATGATCATTAAAGTATTTAGTGGAAAAATTATTTGTTTTATGTATTTTGCCAAAGAAATGCCACAGTGTCTGGGATGTCCTTTAAAATTCTTCAGCAAAAGGAATGTTAGTAATTGTTAAATCCAGTGATGAATATACAGGAGTTCATTGTTATATTTTTTTTTACTTTTGTTTGCTTAAAAGTTTTCATAATATGTATTTTTTAAAGACAACCCTGTGAGGTCACCTACCATCATTTTCATTTTTTCCAGATGAGAAAATTGAAGTATGTAGAGGTTAGTTGACTTGCCCATGAACACACAGCTAGAGTAAGTGGTGCAGCTAGGAATCAAACTCAGGCAGTCAGCTCCTTACCACTCTGCTCTAACAGGCTCTGGGCTGAGCGACCTTTAGGCCCTACTACAGGATGGTCCTGGATATGTTCTTACCACTCTGAGTCTCAATTTCCTCATGTTTAAGATGGGCCAAGGACTGTTCTGCCTGCAGAGAATTGAATGAATTGAGACGTGCAGTGCTTGGCATGTGGTCCTCGTTATTGTCACGAGAGCAAGTATCAGTTGGTTACTGAACACCTGTCCTGGGCACAACATGGTGCTGGGCCTTTGGGGGAGCCCAATTTGTGGGAAAGAAAAGCATCCGACCTCACACACATAAGAGAGGAAGACATGCCCCCCATGACTGCATCCAGAAATGCAGTGGAAAGGCTATTTTGGGGGTTTCATGGAGGCTGGCCTAACCCCAGTCTGCCTGGAAGCAAGAGGAGGGCTTCAGGCCAAGAACAATACCTGAGTGCCCCTCCTGCAGGACAGCCACCCCCCGAATCGGTGACGTGATCCAGAAACTGGCCCCCTTCCTGAAGATGTACAGTGAGTATGTCAAGAACTTTGAGCGAGCCGCTGAGCTGCTGGCCATCTGGACTGACAAGTCTCCTCCCTTCCAAGAGGTTCTCACTCGAATTCAGGTGAGGTTGGGGTCGGGGCCGAGCAGAGCCTGCACTGCCACCCCCATGTGCAGTGGCTCAGTTTCCCCAGTGTTTTGGGTCATCTTCCAGGGTCAGTGCTTCCATGAATTCCCCCACCCCTCCCTGCTCTCACCCCACACTATTCCTCCCCTGTGGCTCCCCAAGAGCAGCAAGGCCTCAGGCAGCCTGACCCTGCAGCACCACATGCTGGAACCTGTGCAGAGAATCCCACGCTATGAGCTGCTGCTCAAGGAATATGTCCAGAAGCTGCCAGACCAGTCCCCGGACCGGGCTGATGCCCAGAGTGAGGACACCCCCAGGGGACCCAGGGGGTTGGGGAGGCCTAGGCTGTTCCCACATATTCAATGAGCACCTGCTAGAATGGTTATAATGAGCATCAGCCCTCAACTTCGATTGTTGGTACTTGGTAGACATCATCTTTACCATTAGCCATTTTTTACAGACAAGGACACTAAGGCCCAGAGAGGTTACTAGTAAGTGACTGGCTCAAGGTTACACAGCCAGAGCCCTGGAGCCCTGGCTGGTGTGGCTCAGAGGATTGAGCCCTGGCCTGCAAAGCAAAGGGTTGTCTGTTCTATTCCCTGTCAGGGCACATGCCTGAGTTGTGGGCCAGATCCCCAGTAGGGGGCGCTTGAGAGGCAACCACACATTAATGTTTCTCTCCCTCTCTTTCTCCCTCCCTTACCCTCTCTAAAAATATCTTTAAAAATAAATAAATAAAATCTTTAAAAACAAAGAGCCTACACAGCCAGAAAGGAGCAGAGCTGGGATTTGAAGCCATGCCTATAGGAGGCTAAAGCCTATGCCTTTCCGCACCCTCTGGGTCCGGCTTGGTTACGGGAGCCGTGAGAGACACAGAAGCACAATGCCTACGCTCTGTCTTCCTGTGGCTTCCAGTCTCTCCACCCAGGGGAGGAGGTGGCCCCTGTCATCCAGGCACCTCCTGTGCTGGGCTGCACAAGCAGGACAGCTCCAGGGGGTGCTCGTGGCAGGCCCCAGGCTACTTTGTCAAGCCTCAGGGACCTCCTGCCTCAGCCACTAGCCCCAGATTTTCAGGGGATAACTATGGTTCTACTCCCCCACCCCTTCAGAAGCCCTTGACATGATCTTCTCAGCTGCGCAACACTCCAATGCAGCCATCACGGAGATGGTGAGCAGCCCAGCCCCCAGGGCAGAGAGTGGGAGCATGGCGGGGCGGGGGCGGGGGGGCGGGCTGTCGCCTCCACCCTGTCGCTCTCAGCCTGCCCAGGTCTCTGCATCTGCTCATCCCCTGATCCCTGTCACTGGCCGCACAGCCCCTCACCCCCTCACACCCTGCCCCTGTCCACACAAAGCAGACTTTCTCGAAGGAGGCGGGCCCTGCCTGTCCTTGCCTGAAGGTACGCCCCTGTCCCTAGGAACGCCTGCAGGACCTGTGGGAAGTATACCAGCGACTGGGCCTTGAAGATGACATAGTGGACCCCTCCAACACCCTGCTCCGCGAGGGCCCCGTCCTCAAGATCTCCTTCCGCCGAAGAGACCCCGTGGAGCGATACCTTTTCTTGGTAGGGGGAAGCTGGGGGGTCCACTGTCCTGGGCAGGGAATTCATGAGTGACACTGCCCAGGTCGCGCCTGCCTGGATCTACCCGGTGCTGCAGAGAGAAGCAGGAAGAGCCTGCTTCTCTGTCCTCCTCTGCTTTGGCACCTGGCTGACTCTGCACTGGTGCTGCCTCCAGCCCTCAGGGATTTCCAGACGAGGGGTTTCCCATAAATGCCCTAGGAAGCCACAGGGTAGGCATTTGAACCCCGTCCATTTGGCTCCAAAGCCTGTGGCATTATTTGTGCCCTAGGAGTGCACAGCAGGAGAGATTTAAGTTAGCTACTAGGAAGAACTGCCTGGGTTTGCACTGAAGAAGCCAGGGGTCTCCTGGAGATCTGGAAACTGGTCCCGCCTGGTGGTCAGGAGGAGGGAGCTACCCTTGCATAAGCCTCTGTCCCTCTGAGCGCCCGTGAGAAAGACCTCATAGGTCTCTGAGCTCTGCCTTGGTCCCTGGATGCCCATAGGTAGGGCAACCCTGCAGTGACATCCTACTTGAACTGGGGCCAGATAACCCCTTCCTTGCAACCTGTGGCATCCTGGGAGCTGGCCCAGAGTGTGGCGAGAGGGACAGGAGACCAGTGGTGCTGGGCCCCCTCAGGGGGGCCCACCTGACCACCTCCCTGCCCCGCTACTGCACACACGTTTATGTTGTGTCTCCTGCAGTTCAACAACATGCTGCTCTACTGCGTGCCCAGGGTCATCCAGGTGGGTGCCCAGTTCCAGGTGAGGACTCGCATCGACGTGGCCGGGATGAAGGTGAGCAGCGCTCCAACCACTGTCAGGCTTCACCCCGAGGGTGGGCCCAAGTATGGGATGAAGCAAGATGTGCCGACTTGGGTTCGCAGTCCAGGAACCCAGGCCTGGCAGGGCTTGAACCAACGTGGACACAGAGGTGTTAGGGGTTAGAGCTGTTCCGTCTGGGCTCCCAGCCTTCCTGCCCAGGGCCTTTCCGAGCCCCCAGAGGCGTTTGGGGCGCCCGCTCCAGCCTGGCCCCACTCGGCTTTCCCTACCATCTACACCAGTGCTTCTAAAACATGCGTACAGGCAGGAGTCCCCAGCAGGGACTTGTTAAAATTGCAGGTTCTGACTCAGTAGGTCTGGGGGATCCTGAGATTCTGCATTTCTGGCCAGCTCCCGGGCAATGCTGACACTGCAGATCCACAGGCCACACTTGAGTAGGAAGCGTCTACACTGTCATCTCCCCATGCAGAGATGGCCACAGCCGTCCCTAACGGTGCCCACTGACTGGGCGGTCACCATGGGTTGGGCCCTGCATCATCAGACCCTCATAACAGCCCTGTGATGTCAGGGCTCTTATTAACCCGTCTGTTTGGGTATTTTTAATCTTTTAAAAATAATAAGTGCATCACTTTAAAAATATAGATAATACATGTTCCAAAATCAAACAATATAAATATATATACAATGCAAAGTCTCCTCCCCACTGCATCCCCTAGATCTGCTTCTTGGGGGCAGCCTTGGCTTTCTTGGGAGGACTTCCAGAGGTATCTTTTTGTACACAGACTAACTCTATATTTTCGCTTTCTTTTGTTTCACATAAACAGTGAAACTGTTTTTCATGTACACTATTCTGCACTTTGCTTTTTTGACTCACGGGAGTGATCTGGAGATTGCGGTGCGTCAGCACAGCAGGAGGTCGTCTTCCCTTTGCTCAGCTGCACAGGCTCCCAGGTGTGGGTGTGCCGTGGTTCACTCTGCCAGGCCTCCACTCAGGCTGTTTTCAGTTGTCAGTCTCTGCAAATGAGTTGAGTGACTGTGTTCAGTTTGCCTGTGTGTGAGTATATCTGTACTTAATGCTATTTTTAAAAAGATTTTATTAATTTATTTTTAGAGAGGAGGAGGGAGGAAGAAAGAGCAGGAGAGAAACATCAATGTGTGGATGCCTCTTGCACGCCCCCTACTGGGGGCCTGGCTGACAACCCAGGCATGTGCCCTGACTAGAAATCGAACCAGTGACCCTTTGGTTCACAGGTGGGCACTCAGCCCACTGAGCCACACCAGCCAGGGCTAATTCTATTTTTAAAATAAGTAAATAAACTCTGATACATCCAGACAATGGAATACTATTCAGTGATAAAAAGAAATGAGCTATCAATCCTAAATGCATATTACTAAGTGAAAGAAGCCAATCTGAAAAAGCTACATACTGCATGACACCAACTATATGACATTCTGGAAAAGGCAAAACAATGGAGACAGTAAAAAGATTGGTGGTTGCCAGGTGTTGGGGGAGAGAGAGGGATGAATAGACAGAGCACAGAGGATTTTTAGAGCAGGGAACGATTTTGTATATTATAATGGTATATACATGTCATTATACATTCTTCCAAACCCACAAAATATACAATGCCAAGCATGAACCCTGATGTAAACTATGAACCTTGGGTGATAATGACGTGAGGTTCGTCGGTTTTAATGAACGCTCCATTCTGTTGGAGGGGCGTTGATAATAGGGGAAGTTATGCATGTGTAAAGGCAGAGAAATCTCTACCTCTCTCTCAATTTTACTGTGAACTTAAAACTGCTCCAAAAAAATTTGTCTTAAAAAAAATAAAGAAATGAAAGCCCATAAAGATTAAGTAACTTGCTTGGAGTCAAACCAGGGTTGAAGATTCCTGTATAACCCAGTCCAGAGCCCCTGTACCTAATACCATACTACATGGACTCCCACTAAGGCTTCACCCCAGAGGGATGAAGCATAGGGCGGGACTGCGGCTCAGTGGAAGAGATGGTGGGGGACCTTCTTGGTCACTCCTCTCTGATCCTCCTGAGTACAGGTGTGTCCAGAGGGCTGGGGCTGGATGAAGGATGTGCAAGCTCTTTTTTTAATAAATTTTTCAATGACTGTTTATGTTCAATATTATTTTAGAACTTGTATTAGTTTCAGGTGTACAGCATAGTGGTTAGACAATCATAAACTTTACAAAGTGTTCTCAATATTTTTGGTACCTATCTGGCACCATCCATAATGCTTACAATATTATTGGCTATATCCCCTATGCTGTACTTTACATCCCTATGACTATTTTGTCAATAACCACCAATTGGTACTTAATCCCTTCACCTCTTTCTCCCTGTCCCCCAACCTCCTCCCCTCTGGCAACCATCAGTCTATTCTCTGTATCTATGAGTCTGTTTCAATTTTGTTTGGTCATTTATTTTGTTCTTTAGATTTCACATGTAAGTGAAGTTATATGGTATTTTTCTTTCTCTTCACTTAGTATAAGACACTCTAGGTCTACCCATGCTGTGGCAAATGGTGAAATTTCATTCTTTTTTATTGCCCTCGTATATATGTATCACAACTTTTTTTATTCACTCATCTACTGATGAGCACTTGGGCTGCTTCTGTGTCTTGGCTTTTATAAATAACACCGCAATGGACATAGCGATGTGCATATTCTTTGGAATTAGTGTTTTGGCTTTTGTCAGATATTTACCCAGGAGTGGAATTTCTGGGTCATAAGACAGTTCCATTTTTAATTTTTTGAGATATCTCCATACTGCTTTCCAATCTGCATTTCCACTAACAAATACACAAGGGTTGTCTTTTCTCTACATCCTTGTCAACATGTTGTTTGTTGTTTTATTGGTGATAGCCATTCTGACAGGTGTTAGGTGATAGCTAATTGTGGTTTTAATTTGCGTTTCTCTGGTGATTAGTGACATTGAGCATTTTTTCATATGTCTGTTGACCATCTGTGTGTCCTCTTTGGAGAGGTGTCTGTTTGGGCCCTCTGCCCATTTTTTCATTGGATTTTTTTTTTCATTTTGTTGATAGTTTCCTTTGCTCTACAAAAACTTTTTAGTTTGATGTAGTTTCATTTGTTTATTTTTTCTTTTGTTTCCCTTGTCTGAGGAGATATGAGATCAGAGAAAATATTACTAAGAGAGATGTCAGAGACATTACTGCCTATGTTTTCTTCTAGGAGTTTTATGGTTTCAAGTGTTACATTTGTCATTCATTCATTTTGAGTTTATTCTTGTACAGTGTAAGAAGGAGGTCTAGTTTCATTTTTTGCATATATCTGTCCAATTTTCCCAACACCATTTATTGAATAGACTATCTTTACTCCATTGTATGTTCTTGCCTCCTTTGTCATATATTAATTGACCATATAGGCATGAGTTTATTTCCAGGCTCTCTCTTCTGTTATTGATTTATGTCTATTTTTATTCCAGTACCATGCTGTTTTAATTATTATAGCCTTGTAGTATAGTTTGATATCAGGTAGCATGACATCATCAACTTTGTTCTTTTTCAAGATTGCTGTGGCCATTGGGGGTCTTTTATGATTTTATATAAATTTCTGGTTTGTTCTAGTTCTATCAAACATACCATTGGTATTTTGATGGGAGTTGCATTGAATCTATAGATTTGGGTAGCATGGACATTTTAATGATGTTAATTCTTCCTACCCATGAGCACGCTATGTGCTTCTATTTATTTATGTCTTCTTCAGTTTTTTCTTCAGTGTCTTATAATTTTCTGAGTACAGGTAGTACAGGTCTACCTCCTTGGTTGAATTTATTCCTAGGTATTTTTGATGCAATTTTAAATGGGATTGCTTTCTTAGTTTTCCTTTTTTGATAGTTCATTATCAGTGTATAAAAATGCAACTGATTTCTGAATATTTATTTCATATTCTGCTCCTTTACCAAATTCATTTACCAGTTCTAGTAGTTTTTGGGTGGAATCTTTAGGGTTCTCTAGATACAGTATCATGTCATCTACAAATAATGACAGTGTTACTTCTTCCTTTCCAACTTAGATGTTTTTTATTTCTTCTTCTTCTCTGATTGCTGTGGCTAAGACTTCTAGTACTATATTGAATAAGAGTGGTGAAAGCAGACATCCCTGTCTGGTTCCTGATCATAAGAGAAACATTTTAGTTTCCCCCCCGCTGCATATGATGTTAGTTATGTGTTTGTCACATATGGCCTTTATTATTTTGGGGTATACTCCCTCTATTCCCACTTTGCTGAGAGGTTTTATTATAAATGGGTGCTGGATTTTGTCAAATGCTTTTTCTGCATCTATTGATATGATCCTACAATTTTTATCTTTCATTTTGTTTATGTGGTGTATCATATTAATTAATTTGCAAATATTGTACCATTGCCTCCCTGGAATAAATCCCACTTGATGATGGCATATGATCTTTTGAATGTATTGCTGAATCTGGTTTGCTAATATTTTGTTGAGGATTTTTGCATCAACATTCATCAGGGATATTGGTGTATAATTTTCTTTCTTTGAGTGTCTTTATCTGGTTTTGGAATTAGGATAATGGTGGTGCATGTGCAGGCTTGTATTTCTGGGAGACTTGGTGAGTGGGACTGAGAAAGGCAGGTTTATGAGGAGTTAGTTATATAGACAGACAGATAGAGATAGGCAGCCCTGTCTTAGGACTGGCAGAAACCCATGCATAGAGAAGAAGAGGCAGAGATCGACAGATAGAAAAGCCAAGAAATATGGAAGCTAAAACAGAGTTATCAGAAAAAATACATAAAGATGGGGCTGAGAGTGTCAGACACTTAAGGCGCATAGGCCCAATGTGTGTTGGGTTCCTGGAGTCTCTAGGGTTCTCTAGATACAATATCATGTCATCTACAAATAGTCCCAGTGAGTATGTTCGCTGCAGGGCCTGCTTAGTGCTCCAGAGGTCACACAGCACCCTCTCCTGGATGGCAGGGCCTGGAAGGTGGAGAGTGGTGTCTGCACCCGTGTCTGCATGGGAACCATTTTCTGTGTCTGAGGTTTGGAGGCAGACCTGGCCTTCGACCACCATGACATTTCCCACTGGCCTATGAGCCCCTGGACTCTTCTTTCCTGGGTTTCAGGGAGGCCTAGTTCTCAGCAGCTGATTCTCCCAAGGTCTGACTTGGTCCTAATGCTGTGCCATCCCATGCAGTGCCAACCTGGGAAGAAGGAAGGGATGTGAGACACACCCAGGGTCTCCATGTGCAACTGTGCAGGTTGTGCACTGCACAAGCACACCTACCTCATCCAACACACCCATGGATGGTATGGTCACAACTCTCATTGTCCAGCAGAGGGCAGTCAAGTGTCTTGCCCAGCAACACCTGACTATTATGCCAGTTTGCCAACAGATGTCAGTAAGGAGTTCTGAGGAATGGTGTCTTTTGCTAATTGGCACAAAGGCACTGTATGGGCTAGCAGGGACCTGAACCACCCCAGACTTGGGCATTCAGGAAAGTGTCTTCTAGAAACCTTCATCCTGTCTCTCTGCAGAGGTAGGTGGTCCTGGACCTCCAGGTCAGCAGCTACCCCATTGCTATTAGAAGTATCATATTTCTTTCTATCTCTGGACTCCAAACCTTAGATTTCTCCCTTCTTTTCCCTCTCCTCCCTCACCCAATTAGTCATGAAATTTTGCCAGATTTCCTAATATTGTTCCTCATGTAGAAACCTCTTCTCCCTCCCCAAGTGCAGGCAGACCTCCGCCATTTAGGGTATCACTTCCAAGCTGGCCTCTGGGGTACTGGTTTGCCCCATTTCCCTCGGATCCAGCCCTTTGACCCTGACACTCAGCTGCAGGAGTGACTTCCCAAACACCTCTTTCCACATGAGTGTCTCCATTTATAAAGCCTCAGAGCTTCCCTATTGCCAAGAATGTTGAATCCAAATCACATCAGGCCATTACAGAGTGGGGCAGGCTGGTTTCACAGGCCTGATAGGTAGACTAGGCCTAGCGTAAAGAAGGGTGTTCCCAGAGTCCATGCTTTCTGGGATGTGGTGGGTCACCCTGAAAGTCATCACACATGGCAGGTCACATGTGGCAGGTCACATGTGGCAGGGGGCCAGCAGAAGGGCTCAAGTGTCACATGGAGTCAATGACAACAAAATTCCCCCATGCCAGGATTCTTGGGCTCTAAGTTTGTGTCTTAGCTTCCCATTGTGACTCTCCACACTACCTGGGAGAAGTCTGTGTTTACAGGATGCTGGGGATGAGTGGAAACAGATATTCTTCCATTTTACCCTTGGGGGCCAAAGACCTGAGTTTTAATCCTCATTCTGCCATTCAGGTGCTGTGTGACCTCAGGCAGGTCTCTTGCCCTCTCTGAGTCCCCATTTCCTCATCTCCTAGATGAGGGTGATATCTACCTGACAAGATTGCTGTGAAGATTTTCTTTAACTTTTTATGAACATTTTGACTGAGAAAATAGAACCCCCATATACTCATCACCTGGCTTCCACAATTGCCAACTCAAAGCCAGTCTTGTTTCCTCAGCATTTCCCTTCTTAATTCCTTTGTATCACTGGATTATTTCAAAGTAAATCCCAGTCACATAATTATTTCACCTGTAAGTACTTCAACATGTCTGTCAGAGATAAGAAATCTTTTGGGTTTTTGCCCTAAAAGATGACAACAGTACTATTATCACATCAGACATATGGATAACAATTATTTAGTAACATTAAGATTCTTCGGTTTTCCTTGACTGTCTCATAAATGTCTTCGCACGGCTGATATGTTTGAATCATTTGTGACATGCTCCTTACATCCCTTTTAATCCACTCCACTTTCATCTCCTACTTTTTTTCTCCTTTATTTATTGAAAAAATCAGATCATTTCTCTGGTAGAGGTTTCATAGTCTGGATTTTGCTGACTGCACCCCTATGGTGTCATTTAACATGTCCCATGGCCTCACATATTTCTTGTAAACTGGTGGATAACCCAGAGACCCCACCAGATTCAGCTATGCAGGAAGCTGTAGCTGGAGAGAGACACTGTCTGTGGGGGGCACATCATGGCTTTTAAGTGATAGGATTGATCAGTGGGTTTAGCAGTTGTGCAGATCGAACGAGAACACGTATGGAGAGCCCTGGACTCAGATCAGTGGCTGTCACATGGTAAGCTCTCTCTGACTGGCAGCTCACATAATGGCCGCGGGCCCCTGTGGCATTCTGGGCAAGAGGATGGTGAAGGACAAGAAGGACTTGATTGCCCAACTCATGGATCTCTTTGAGGGTGGATCTCTATGATCTATGAACTGAGTAATCAATTCCTTCATTCACTGTATGGGGTAAAGCAGCAATTTTCAACTGGTGTGCTGCAAGAATTTTTAAAACATGCAGTACCTGACTATTTAGCCAGGGCACTGACCACCTTTTCCTTAGAGTGTCAAATTAAAAAATGACAACAGCCAACACAACATAGCCATCCAATGCAAATGAATCAAAATTATACCTATTTTTTGTTAGATTGGCAAAAACATATATTTTTTTTGGTATGCTGCAGGATGTTAGTAATTTATGTGTGCCATAAGATGAAAAACATGGAAAATCGCTGGGGCAGAGGGTCTTACTGTAGGCCTTAGGTCTGCTCTTGCAAAAGCTGTGTCCCCAAACCCAATTGGTGACCCAGTTTTCATATCTGGTGAAGCATTTGTCAGGAACTGTCACCCCGACTACCACTGGGCCGATTCAGCTGCTGCTAAAATTCCAGGAGCCCCAAGCGCCACTTTTGTAGAGCAAGGCCCAGTGTAGGTGCATTTGCTTGGGAATAGGGAGGTGGTGAACAAGCTCCCTATCCTTGTCCCAGGAGTTTGAATTGTCCCTTGGGCACATTCCATCTCCTTCCCTCCCACAGCGCCTGGGGACGGTCGGGACAAGTCTGAACGGCCTCCATCCTCTTTCTGAGCAGGTGCGGGAGCTGACTGACGCGGAGTTCCCACACTCCTTCCTGGTGTCCGGGAAGCAGCGCACCTTGGAGCTTCAAGCCCGGTAGGCGTCGGGCTAGGGGCGGGGAGGCGAAAAACTGGGAGGGGCCGCTTCCCTAACACCAGTGTTCACTTTCCGAGCAGGTCCCAGGAGGAAATGATTTCCTGGATGCAGGTATCAGACCAATCCAGGGCCCCTAGGATTCTAGCCACCCCGCCCTGCGCCCAAGCTGAGAGGGAGAGAGGGCTGTATGCTTGTATGGGGGTGGGGGTTGTGTGCACGGGCGCGCCTTCCCATGCCTAGCTCGCCCTGCTCTTCCTCAGGAGGCGGCGGTTTGGAGACACACCTGAGTCCAAATCTTCCTCTCTTTCTCACTGTCTAACTGGGTGGCCTGGGACAAATCACTTAATATCCCTGAGCGTCAGTTTTCACATCTGTAATCTGGGGGTAATGGTCTCTCTTCCTTAAGTCAGCCAGTGTGTGCTGAGAATCCAGTGCCTGGCACCCAGCAGGCTTTCAGCAGTGTTTGTTGAACGTGTGGATGGATGGACAGATGAACAAGCTCCCCCTGCCACCCCTTTAACCACCTCCCTGTGCCCCTGCCCAGGCCTGCCAAGCAGCCATCGACCAAATTGAGAAGCGGAATGAAACCTTCAAGGCTGCGGTCCAGGGCCCTGAGGGAGATGTCCAGGGGCAGGAGGTAAATGAAGACTTTTTGTTCCTCCCTGGAGACTCACAGAGCTTGAAGGGACCAGGGAAGCCCAGCCACCTACCCCAACATCAGCCTACTCAGAGACTCAATGCCGAAGTTTCCCCATTCACAAACAATTTCTAAGGGAACCTGCATACACCTAGCTGCCGGAAGGACTTTGCGACTATACAGCCCTGGCTGTAGGGGTGTTGCAGGTTCGGGGTTTAAAGTGCCTGAGAAATGTAAGACCTGGGGAAGGTGGAGGCAGGAGAGATGGGGTCAGGGAGAGTGTCTATGACTAGATTTCGAATCTAACCTCTGAACTCCGGCTTGCGGGGCGTTTCTGCTGAGTCACTTAACCCCTCTGGGCCTCAGTTTGCTCACCTGTAAAACAGGAATGATAGTCACCGACCTACCATATGGCCTTCATCAGTTCAGTCAGGGCCATGTGGAAGACAAGGGGAAGCACCAAGCACAGAACCCTGCCACAGGCAGGCGGGGAGGGGCCCCAGCGCTCAGGGAGTGGGCAAAAGAGGGTCCTGAAGTGCCCGCCCTGCTGCCCCACAGCCGCAGTCTGAGGAGCTGGGCCTGCGGGCGCCACAGTGGGTCCGGGACAAGATGGTGACCATGTGCATGCGGTGCCAGGAGCCCTTCAATGCCCTGACGCGCCGTCGCCACCACTGCCGGGCCTGCGGCTATGTGAGTACCCGTGCCAGACCCCCGCCTCCCTGCCCGCGCGGCCTGCTTGGAACCTGTGCAGCCCAGGAGCGCTGGCAGGAGCTCTGTGCCAGGTTTTTGAGCTGCCTCATCGGGACCTCATAATGCCCACCTGTGAAGCAGGACCTGCATTATCCCCATTTTACAGATGGGAAGGTGAGGCTCAGAGAGTCTAACCAACTTGCTCAGGACACTCCTCAAGGTGACCCTATTAATTCACCTGCTTTCTTTCTGCCATCTCCCAAGGCCCCCAGACCCAGCACCAGGAATGGCCTCCAGTTTCAGGGTGACGGTCATGCAAACCCCTCAGCCCCTCTCCAGCCTTGCACTCACCACTTCATCAGTCCCATGCCTGTTACACACGACCCTCGTTGTCCTCTTCCTGATTGACCTCGACGAACTGTGCTCTCCTCTTCTTTGCAAGAGCTCAGTGCTCCAGCACCTGATTAGTTCTGTTGCTAAATCTGCCCACCAGGTTCAGGCTTCAGTTTCCGCACCTGTACAATGGGGGTTTTGATACCTACCTCCAGGGTGGCAGCGAGGACTCAATAAAAGAAGGTGCACCCTTCCCTCTCCTCCTCCTTTCCTTCCCCCTCCTGAGAGCTCATTCAGAGGAGCAAGTCACCAGCTGACTGAGGAAGGGACCTGTCCACTCCAGGCCAAGCTTGCTTGGCTTTTTAACCACCTGCTGCACTTGCGCTGTTCTCTGCTGACATAACAACTCCCTCCCTTTACTCTGCAAGCGGAGAAGCCCTTATGACCTTAGTGTTGAATGAATTCTGGGGGACAGGGACCAGCTGGGCAGGTTAGGTCAAGGAGGTGTCCCCATATTGTGTTAAAATGCAATAAGGATACAGAGTAAATGTCTAGGACTGGGGACACACCTATATTGAGATTTAAGTGATGAGTTATATCCTGGATCTGGGATTAGCTACTGTTCTTGGTGATTTATGTCTGTAAAGAAGACTTGAGTTCATTTACACGTGTGACTTAGTAATGTAGTTCCTAAAAAATATTTAAATAGTTAAGAAATATAAAAAGCCACAAGAATAATATAGCAATCTGGAAAGCAGGTGCATGGAAGAAATAAAATATTCTGACAACAACTAAATTAAATATATGGTCCTGGATTGGATCCTAAATTGGAAAACAAAACCAGCTACAGAAGTCGTTATTGGGACCATTGGTGGAAATTTGATTATAAGCCATGTGCAAATAATAGTATTGTATCAACATTAAATTTCCTGAGTGTGAGCATTGTGTATAGACAAGAGAATGTTCTTGTTCCTAGGAGGCACCAGATATATATTTAAGGATGAGATTTCATGATGACTATAATTTATACTCAAATGGTTTAGAAAAAATAAAATACAGAAAGAGATAAAGCAAGTGCAGCAAAAATATTAACAATTGGGGAATTGAGTGGTGGTAGGGTGTCCCTGTATTATTCTTTGAACTTGTCTGCAGGTTTGAAATTTTTCAACATAAAAAGTTGGTGGAGCAGAAAAGAAATACTAATAATATTTTTAAAATTTTAAAAATGCTCCCAAGGTAGGCAATGTCCCCTCTGTGAAGACATGAGGTGTCCTTGGCCCGATTTAGGGGTATCTTCTGCCCATGCATACCTTTGTAGTTTGTGAGTCATCCTTTCGGTGGTTTGGTGCCCAGTTTCTGTCTCCCACTTGCCAGATGGGAATCCTGGTGAGGGTGGGGCAGGCGCGGGCCTTCTCCTGTGGGGCCCTCCCAGTCACGTGCTGTGCTGGGCACACCCAGGAGCTCACCGATGAACAGCCCTTTCCCGTTGTCTCTATCTCTTGCTCTCATTTCCAAGCCCATCTCCTGGACTCACAGCGACAGCCCTGTCTCCCAGGAAGTCATGTCCTGCAGCACCCCATGTTTCTTTTCAAGTCTTTTCATGACTCCTTTACCAGGTCTCCCCAGCACAATCCATGTCGGCCTTCTTGGGGGCTTTCCATGGTGGGCTGGAGGTGGGCCCACGCCACAGAGAGTGCTCCCTGTGAGGCTCGAGAGGATAAAGGCCCCGGGGCTGTGCCGCTGGTGGGCTGCTGGGAGAGTCTGGTGAGATGGTAGAGGGGACAGAGAGCACTCGGAGAAGTGAATCAGATATGATGGGTGTGTGCAGGGCCAGCCCCTGGGATTAACAGCTGCCTTCACTGAAGGGGAATCTGCAGGGGAGAAAAGTCGAGGGACCTGCAGAGGGGGCTGGGTGTCAGCCCCCAGCTGGGGAAGCCCAGAGCATGAGCTCACCTCCTGCATCTTGGCCTCCAGGCAGCTGGCTCCCTGCCAGCCCAGGGGACTGCCGCTCTCTGCCTGCTTTCCTCTCCTGAATCTTGCTCTTTCTCCCTCTTGCCCCTGGTTGCTCTCACACCCCCACCCAGCCAGGGCACAAACACGGCCCTCCCCTGCCTCAGTGGAGGCCCCAAGCCCCTGCTGTCCCTCCTCCCTCAGGTGGTGTGTGCCAGGTGCTCCGACTACCGGGCTGAGCTCAAATATGATGACAACAGGCCCAACCGAGTCTGCTTGGACTGCTACACATTCCTCACCGGAAACGTGCTCCCCGAGGACAAAGATGACAGGAGGCGGGGCATCCTGGAGGTGAGGGCCACTCTCCCCCCATCGGCAAGTGTCTGTAGGACTCCCACCAAGGGCGGGCTCTGTCCTAGGTGCTGAGGAAGAGCCAGGGCCGCACCCTCCCTCCTCTCTCTACCCACAGACACCCCTTCGTCTCCTCCCCGCAAAGAGCTGGGCCTGTCGTCAAAGGAAAGCAACTTTTGACTCCAGGCTATCGTCCAGGCTCTTCCACCGCCCCTCTGGGTTCCCATCCAGCAATGGCACAGCCCCCCTGGACAGCCTTTGTTCACATTCCCATCCCCTGCCCCATAGTCCTAGGAGGTGGAGAGAGCGCCTGGTACCAATTCCATATTACAGATGGGGAAACGGAGGCTCTAGGTCTGGGTCCCACTGCTGGAAAGAGGTAGACTGGAGACCGCATTCTAACCAGAAGGGACTTTAGGGACCTATGCCATGGAGGCCCAGGCCCAGAGAAGCGACACGCCCAAGGTCACCCTGTGAGCTGGGGGCCGGCTCTCTGACCTTGCCACAGATGTCCTCTCTGCTGCCCTTGGGGCCTGACTGAGCCACTTTTCTCCCCACAGGCACTCCCCAGGCTGCTCCCTCGCTGCTGGTTAGCTCCTATGAGGCACTAGCTGGGCTACAAATATAATGTGACCCAGCCCAGATGCTGGTTACCACTGCCCTCTGCCCCTCACTCATTCAAGGCCAGGGGGCCATCCCACTGTCTCTGGGAGGTGGGAGAAGACCCCAGCCTGTTGTAGCTGTACATGGCTCCCAGGTTTCAAGTTGGTCCCTTTCCATGGGCATCTACCTGCTTTCCGATCATCCCCATTTTTCTAGGTCCAGCCCCTGCTCACTACCTTTGCTGACCATTAGGCAACACAGCCTGCTCCTGGAGAGAGGGGATGGTCAGCCCCTTCTCAGGCCCCAGTTGTGTTCCCTGGGGGAACTTTCAGGTGATAAGCTCTCCCAGCACCTGCCCCAAGTTCAGGCTGGCCAGGGTTTGACGGCACCTCTGCCAGCTTTGCGAACACAGCCTCATGATGGGACCTCTCTGAGCCTCAGGGACAAATAACCCTTTTTGCAGGGTTGCTGCAAGGATTAGAAATAGTGATTGTCAGGCTCCCAGACCAATGTCTGTCACCTCGTGTGTGCCCTGTTCTCTGGTTTTAGAAAGGGTCCGCGTCGGGGTCTGAGCAGAACCTCATGTGCAGCTTCCTGCAGCTCACTGGGGACAAGTGGGGCAAGAGCAGCACCCGGAGCTGGTGTGTGATCCCCCGGGACGACCCCCTCGTGCTCTATGTCTATGCTGCCCCTCAGGTAATGCCTTCGCCTGCCCGCTCCAGGCCCTGGCCTTCTCACAGCGTGTGGGGATGGGGGAGGGGGAGTATTGTTGGCCCCATTATCTCGGATGCAGAAACCGAGGCCCAATGAGAACATAGTTGTCTGGAGTCACAGGATCAGTGGCTTTCAAAGTTGGGCCCAGGCTCCAGGGCACAACTGCTTTTTCCTCAGCGCTCAGCCAATTCCTGCCCTGATGCCCTTCCGTGAGCCCTCCTGCCTCAGGGGCGTATGGGAAGTGGGAGGCAGGTGTGTGGCTGTGACCCCCAGATGACTCTCTGAGGTGGTGGGGCTGAAGGGGAGGACAGCGGCCCATGGCTCTCCCCTCCCTCTCAGGACATGCGGGCGCACACCTCCATCCCCCTGCTGGGCTACCAGGTGACCACCGGACCCCAGGGGGACCCCCGGGTCTTCCAGCTGCAACAGTCAGGCCAACTCTACACGTTCAAAGCCGAAACCGAGGAGCTGAAGGGCCGCTGGGTGAAAGCCATGGAGCGGGCAGCCAGTGGCTGGAGTCCTGGGGAACCTGGTGACGGGGACCTGTCTGACTGAGCCCAGCCAGCTGTTCCCCTCAGAGCCTGGCTCCCGCCGCGGGCTGCCCCTGTGGCCGCTGCAGCCCCCCGCCCAAGCTGAGCTTTCCACGGTTGATTTCTGGTCATCTGCACCCAGACCGTGTGTCCTTTGGGAAGACAGCGTGGTGGCCAAGTGTCCTGGTTTACCCAGGGTTGAGGGGATTCCTGGGACATGGGACTTTCTGTGGTAAAACCAGGACAGTCCCAGGTCACCCATGACTGTTGGTCACCAGTGTGGTACTCACCCTGGGCTGCACATCAGCACCACCTGAGATCTTTAAAATATGCCCATGAAAATATATAAATAAATAAAATAAAAATAAAATATATAAATAAATGAACTAAAACTACTAATGCCTGTAGCCGTCACCAAAGATTTCTGATTTAATTGGTCTGGGGTTGGGGAGGCATGGGCGTGTCTCAGGAGCACCCACATGAGTCTAATGTGCAGCTTGGGTTACCCAGGGGAAGAAGAAAGAGGGCAAACGGCCACTGGTTGAGCACCTGCCAAGTGCCAGGCATGATAATAAAAAGAAAATAGTAAGAAACATCTGCTGGGCCAGGCATTGTGCTAGGTACTTGACACGGATTATCTCATTTTACCCTCAGGAGTTATAACCCCGTTTTCCAGACGGGACACTGAGTCTTAGAGTGGCTTAATCATTGGCTCAAGGTCACACCGCTGGTGGATGCCAGGGCCAGGCTTTAACTTGGCACATTAAGGTCAGAACTCTGTCAGGTAGCACAGCAGTAGTGCAAGCAAAGAGGGGAGTCGAGTGGAAAAGGAGAAGGGGGGAAGGAGTGAAGAAAAGGCGGGGAAGACAGGAGGGAGGAGGAGGAGAGGAGGGCAGGTACCTCTCTTAGGCCCCCTGGCTGGTGGTGAGGTTGCTTTTTCATAAGGAACCACCAGGGGGAGGCAGTGGTCAGCAAGCTGCACGCTGTGGCCCCAGCCTGGGCCCTGACACCCTAAGTCACTTCCATCAGGTCCAGACACTGTCAGGCTCTGCCCTTCAAGAAGGCAAACGGACAAGCCATAGATCTTTGCCTGCTTCCAGGCCCAGCAGTACGCCCGCCCCCAACCTGAGGCTACCGCCTCCTGCAGGGTGTTTTTAATGCCCAAGAAAACCTCATTGGCACAATCTCTGGGAACCGGGCTGGCCAGGGGTTCATCCCTTCATTCATCGAGTATTTGTCGACCATCTTCAATGAGCCTCCTGCAGTTTTTATACTGGGGATACAGGAGCCAACAAGACAGACAAAAAGTTCGGCCTCCATGGAGTTGATATTCTAGTGGGGGAGATAATCAACAAATAAGTATGTAAAATGTAGAGCATATCCGTGTGTGTAAGTGCTTAAATATGGTGATGAACCATCCTGGACTTTCCTAGTTTTACAACCAAAGTCTCAAGTCCCAGGAAACCCTGCAGTTCCAGACAAACCAGGATGGTTGGTCACCCTAGTGAAAGAAAAAAAAAAGCAAGAAGGGGAATGAGGGAGAATGAGATGTGTGTGAGTGTGTGTGTGTGTGTGTGTGTATGTGTGTGTGTGTGTGTGTGTGTGTTTAAAAGGAAAATCATAGAAGGCCTCACTGTAGGTTGCTGTTTGAAAACAACCACAAGGAAGGAAGGGAGCTATGCAGACATCTGGGGGAAGAGCATTCCAGGTGGCGGGAGTGGCAGGTGCAAAGGTCAGGCGGTGGGAGCCTGCCTGGTGTCTGCAAAGAACAGTGAGGGGGTGAGCGCAGCTGGGTCAGAGGAGAAGGAACGTGATCATAGGAGAAGATGTTAATCACCAATAATCTAAGGCATATGGGAGGCCTTCAGAGGCCTGAGTGAGAGCAGGAGTCACTGGAGGTATCTGATTCGTTTTAACAAACCCTCCCCTGCTTGTTGCAATAAATAGACTGAAGGGGGTGAGGGTGGACGCAGTTTACAGGCTACTGCAACAATCCAGGTGAGACAGGTGATGGCTTACGTCAGGGTTGGAGCAGTGAAGGTGGTGGGAAGGGACAACATTCTGGGTTGATTTTGAAAGTAGATGGGAGAGATTCCTTTACAGAGTGAGTGTAGTGGGAAAGGAGGAGCCAGCAGTGACATGGGGCCTCTGGCCTGAGAGCGTGGAGACGAGCTGCCTCTGACTGAGATGGGAGACCGCGGAAGGGCAGGCTGCGAGCAGCAGCGCACCGGGAGCTCTGCCCTGACTAAGTTAGAGCTGAGCTGCCCCGCGGTCATGGCCCTCAGTGGGTGCCTGCACTCAGGCACCGGGTCTGAGCTGGGAAGTTGATGAGGGAGCTCTGGTCCCAGAGATGAGGTTTAAAGTGTGTGTGAGATGGAAGGAAGAGGTCAAAAGACCAAGTCCTGTGCACCCCAACATTTTAAATGTGCATGTGCCAAAATTCTAACTACACTCACTCCAACATTCTAGTTACACTCATCCAACATCCTAGTTACATGCTCCCCAACATTCTAGCTACACTCATCCTGACATTCTAGCTACACTCGCCCCAACATCCTAGCTACGCTCACCCCAACATCCTAGCAACACGTACCCTGATATTCTAACCCTGCAGTTACAATTCTGAGAATTTACCCAATGAAATAATAGGCCAGTGTGACAAGACTAGAGCACATTGTTTACAACAGTCCCCTGCATTGGAGACTGCCTAAATATCCATCCAAAGGAGACTCATTAAGTGAACTTATACCTAAGGAGAGTCAGGTCCTAGGAACCTCGGCTGCATCCAGTCACAGAGAATGCGTGGCTGTTCAAGGACTTTAATGTGCTGGCGTACGAAGGTGAGTAGTAACCGCAGAAGGGGCTGATATTTTTAATCACTCATTGTGTCAAGCCCTGCAATGAGGACTTGGTGGAGATTATTTCATTTAATCCTTCATAACATTAGAAGTAGACACTTTGTTCAGAACCTCATTGTACAGATGAGGAAGCTGAGGCATTGGTGATCGAGTAATTTGCTTGCGGTCACGTAACGCAGAAAGAGAGGGTGTCCCAAACCTGTGTGCTGAGGAATTTCTCTGCTTCTGCCCCATCTACAGAGGCACGCACTCACTGCAGAAGTGGTGGTTTTGCTTTCTTCTTTAGATCCTCTGTGGTATTTGAATTTCTTTTCAATATCTTGTATTCTGTAATCACAAGAACAAAAGTGCCTTTCCCGCATTAGGGGGAAGATAAAGGAAGAACAAAGGAAAACTCACCTGCCCCACCCAGGAGGCCTGACCAGCCACCACTTGAGGTGAGTAAAGCATCAGTGCCAGAGCCAGAGGCTGTGTGTCCCAGGGGCAGCTGGGAAGCACCCAGTGGGAATGGCTTCTTATTCCACCTCTGAGTGTGGAGACATGAGAACGAGAAGTGACCAGGGGTAGAGAAGAGCACGGACTTGGCAGTACCCAGGGTCTCCCTGGAGAGGAGAGCCGTGGACACTGAAACTGTGCCGTCCTCAAGACCCGTCTCCTGGGAGCTGAAAGGGGCCTGTGTGACCCGGGGGAGCCCCAGCCTTTCCTGGCAGCACCTCCCTGGATTCACTCTTCCAGAGACACTGTGCGTCCCAGGCTCAGGCTGCATCAGGCAGCAGAGACTCCAAGGGCCTCAAAATTTTACTACTCAAAGTCCTTACTTCTAAAAGGCTGGAGGCTCCCCAACAACCTGGTGTCTGCCCCTGGAGGGGGAGCTGGGTGTGGCAGGGAGGAAGGAAAGCCGGCAGATGCCAGGGTGGAGCGCCTCTCGGGGACCCAAGTCAGCTGGAAGACCTTGCCTCTCCCTGCCTTCCCTCCTGGGAACCTCCCTTCCCAGGAGCTACTCTTGTTGCTGGCGCACTGGGGCTCTGGGGCTTCATTCATTCATTCATTCATTCATTCATTTCTTCCCATGTTCATTCCCATTGCTAGCTTTGAGTATTACTATACAGGGAGCTCTCCGCAGACATCATCTCATTTCCTTCCGTAACAGCCTTTTGACATCAGTTCAAGGGTTCATGTTTTACAAATGAGACAGGTAAAAACAAGCAAAGCTAAATATCTTGTCCATGGCCTCCCTTCCTGTAAGTGATGAACCAAGATTCAAACTCAGGCCTGTCTGCTTCCAAAATGTTGCCCCAACCAGCACTGGGGGGCAGCATCTTCCAGTAGTTAGTGGTCCAGGCCCCCAGGCAGCTCTGCCGCTTACTGGCTAAGTTGTCTTGGGCAAGAAAGACTTCACTACTCTGTGCCCAGGTTTCCTCACCTGTCAAAGGGGGATAACCGCATCCTACCTCCCTGGGGACAGGGTGGGGGCATCAAGTGAATGAATACGTGTCCAGCACTGAGAACAGAGGCAGCCCCACGTGATTATTCCTGGTGTTCACTGGCCAGCTCTTTGACACCATTCAGTCTACCTCCACGTGCTGCAATGCACATATTTAGGGGGGTATCTAGGGAATACAGAGTTGAATAAATCACAGTCCCAACTGTTAGCGAGCGCGGCATCTAGGTCATTAGAATCACCTGGGAAGCCTTTGAAAAACTCCCAATGCCCAGGCTGTGCCCCGAGCCCATTAAATCAGAACCCGCTCTTTAGGCCGGGACAGTGGCATCAGCTTTTTAAAGCTCACCAGTGATTCTGATGGACAGCCCCCTCAGAAAGGGCAGGACCAGTTCAGCCCGAGAACCCTGGCTCTGGTCCCCAAGTGTCCCCACAGGGTTTAGTCTGAGTTGAGGTATGGGAATTGGCCTTAGTAAGGTGCTAAATGAATTAGGTTTATGAAGGAATAATTTACATAGAGTAAAACCCACACTTTATGCAGTATAGTTCTGTGAATTTGGGCAAAAGTCACATAACCACCATCACAATCAACACATAGAACAGTTCCATCCCCTCCGAAGTGCTGTCCCTTTGTTGTCATCCTCTCCTTCCCTCTCCTCGCCAGCCCCTGTACCCTGGCAACCATTGATCTGTTTTCTCACCTATAGTTTCCACATATATGGAATCATGTAGTATGTGGTCTTTTGAGTCTGGCTTCTTTTACTCAGCATCGTGTATTTGAGACTCATCCACGTTGTATGTGTTGGTCTTTGTCCTTTTTCATCGCTGTGTAGTTCTCCCTTGTGTGGGTTTACCACATTTTACCCATTCAGCAGCTGAAGGACATTTGGGTTATTTCCATTTTGAGCAATTATGAATAATGCCACTATGAACTATAAGCATTCATGTTCAGGCTTTGTGTGAGCATACATTTTTTTGAAAAGATTTTATTTATCCTGCTGGGAGAGGGTCGCGGAGCGCCTGTACCTGGACGGGGATGGGGTGCTATCCGCGCTTGCCCAGGGGACTCCACATTGAGATTCTCTCAAAGCCACAGGGAAAATGGTGGGAAATTCATCATTGCCATTGCCAGACAGATCGATTTGTGGCCTTGTTCTTTTCTTAAGCTCCCAATTTGGCTTCATACTATATCTCATGAGGGCTTTTATTCCTGAATCTTGGCTAAACACCTTAAGCTTAGCCTATTGGCCTCAAAATAGGGAAGCCAGTAAGAAATATTTGTGACCTAGAACTGCAGAAAGGCTCAGAAGTCGGATATACCAGGTATTGGGTAGTTGCATTGCCCATCTACCTCCTCATCACTGTAGTAATCGCGTATGTACTCTTATTTGGAGTAAACGAGATGAGTACCTTGCCACTCAGCTCCACTCGTGCAACCACGGGTAACTATGCGAAAAACCAACAGCAGAAGAAATACCAAGAAGAGGCCATCCCAGCATTAAGAGATATTCCTATCAGTGAAGTAAACCAAATGTTCTGTCTTAAAGCCAAAGAACTTTATACCAAAAACTGAATTGAATTTAGACTACCTTCAAACATTTATTATGTTTTGACATAATAATTTGGACCATAATTACCTGTCTTGTTAATACCTGGCATTGAAATATTTTGAAAAATGTCAGAAGAAAGATTTTATTTATTTTCAGAGAGAGGGGAAGGGAGGGAGAAAGAGAGGGAGGGAAACATCGATGTGCATGCAAGAGAAACTTCAATCAGTCGTCTCTCACATGCTCCCAACTGGGGGCCTGGCCCTCAACCCAGGCATGTTCCCTGACCAGGAATCAACTGGTGACCTTTTGGTTTCCAGGACGCACCCAACCCACTGAGCCACACCAGTCAGGGCGTGAGCATGCATTTTTATTTCTCTAGGGCAAATATCTAGTATTGGACTACTAGATCATATGGTAAGTGTATGATTAACTTTCTCAGGACTGCCGAGCTGTCTTCCAGGGTGGCTGTACCATTTTGCATTCACATCAGCAATGAGGAGCATTCCCATTGCTCGCATCCTTGCAAGCAAATTAGTGGATTATTAGTAAATGGTTCAATTTTAATTTTCTCTTTTGCCTCTCAGAAGGTTTCTTTGTCTGCCTCAGTGATACCAGTATGTGTGGCACACAGCAGGGTCCTGGTTGCAGGAGACTTGGTGTGTCTTCTCTTCCTCTGTCCTCCACTGGGCTCTTATTTTTCAAGCTTTCGGGGACACTGGGCACCTCTCCCCTTCTGTCGCTATCACTATGCCCAGATACAGAGGGCACGGGGTTCACCCCAGCAGGGTTCCAACACTCAGATCCAGACCAGCACTGGAATAAGTACATTATAATGGAGGCCAATTGGAAATTATGCTTCACTTTACAGAAACTGGCTTAAGTAAACTTTTCAGAAACACATCCACTTTTGTGGAGCAAGGCAATAAATGCTCGTCTGACTTTTTTTAAAAAACATAATTTTTAATATATTTAATTTTTTTCATTAAAAGACATTACTTTCTGCCAAGACACATAGTTAAATTTAGTCTATGTTTTCATAAATATTTAGGCCCTAATTCAAACATGATGTAAGTCACTTTAAAATGTATTTGTTGAAAAATCATATTTTATGTTACATAATTAACTTAAAATAAATTAAACATTTTAATGTTACTTGTTAAATGGTAAAAAGATGACTGTTTTTCTTGATTTATTATAAATATTAAATATGGTAATAAAACCTTCTTTAGTACATAAAAAAAGACATCACTTCCTTGAAAGTATAACAGAGTGCACAGACCTTAAGTATATGGTTCGATGGCTTTTCATGTGTTCACCCACGTAACCACCATCAGACCAAGACCCAGAACATTTCCAGCACCCTGGAGAGTCCCTTCTACTCCCACAATATTGATTTCTTTTTGTTAAAAAATTCAAAAAGTGCACAAGGTAAACTGAAAAATCTCCCTCCCATCCTGGTGTCAGACACCCATTTTTTCCCCCCGAGTCCTTATTACTGTTTCCTTATAGGTACTTTCGAAAAAAAGGAGGTAGGTACACACACACACACACACACACATATCGTGTGTTACGTTATATTTTATATTTTCTCCCCTTTTTACACAAGAAGTAGTTAACTATACAATTGTTGTATACCTTGTTTCTTAAATTAATTCATCTTAAAACACTAGACTCATTTTAATAATTAGCAAATTAATATCTTTACCAAAAAGCTGCCCCTTAACAGAAAACTTGGTTTATAAAGAAACCCAAATTTTATGCTCTGCCTTTAGACCTCTGAGGGTCCTCAGGCAGCAAGTTCTGCTGCTACATCAAAAAATGCAATTCAATTAGGAAAATGTGGTTCATGTAACTTTTCAACAGCCCACCCAATAAAGCATTCTGTGAGATTGTTGTACTGGTATTATCTTTTCCTTTTATTGCTCTATGCAATAACAACATCATGGGTTTATATTCTCAATAACGCATGAGCTCTAAAGGACAGGTGTGAGAGACCAAAAAAAGTGACTAAAATTTGGAGCACAAATTGTATAATTGCTCAAAGTCCTGAATTACTGGAGCTTACTGGTTGGGGTAAATAAGAAGGGAGAGAAATGTTTTGCCCTTTCAGGTGGTCTAAGCAGTTTTCCTGGGAAATGGGTCAAGAGAATGAACTTCCCCAAAGAGAGAGCGGCCCTGCCAGAGGTCAGCTGGGAGGGCTGGGCTGCGCTGTGAGTTCCAGGAAGCAGGGCGAGGCCAGCCAGGAGCAGGAAGGCTTAAAGGATAATCCAAATCAAAGTCCTCAGATGCATCAGCAAGACCAAAGGGCATAAACAGGGCCCCAGACCAGAGACACAGCCAACCCACAGAGCTTCTGAGCGGGATTGGATGAGAATGGAGTTAGGAACAAGTTGGGAGGCACCAGGTCATTGCCAAGAGTAAAGTTAAAGTTCATTGGTCTATGGGTGCATGTATGGGGCATGTTGACTCAGCAAATGAACTTTGTACACCATCCTCATGGAGAATTCATGCAATAATGGCCCCTAATAGAATTATCCCCACCCCTGTGTCCTTGCTCCTTCGCAATGGACTTTATTATTTCTGCTATCACATGGTGGAATCTATGTCACTTCCCCTGGAGTCTGGGTTGGCTTTGTGACTTGCTTTGAATTATGGGATGTGGCAGAAGTGCTATGCAACTTCTGAAGCTGGGCTCTCTTTTGGGATGATTCCATCATCATGTAAAGAAGCCCAGCATGGAAGACCACACAGAGAGCAAGGCCTAGGCCTCTCAGCCAAGCCAAGCTGTCATGGCAGACTGCAGCTGCATAAATAAGACAAGCAGCGGAACCATCCAGCCAACTCACAGACCTGTGAGAAATGATAGATCCTTGTGTTAAGCCATTAAGTTCAAGGATAGCTTGTTATACAGCAACAGATAACTGATACATTTCTATACCCTATAAATTGCTGCCTGGTCCACAAATGGTCTTTCATGTTAGGAAAGTTCAGAACTATGAGACCCAAAGTTACAAATATCTTATGTGTTAATAATTGTATTCTCCAGAACCCTTTCATGTATACTCTCTAATTTAATTGTCATGACAATACAATGAGGAAGAGGAAGAGGGAATGTGGTATATTTCTCTTAAATGGATGAGAAAACTGAGGCACAGAAAGATATGGGATTGTCCCCTAACTGCTCAGCAAGTCAGTAGGGATGCTATTATGGACTGAATTGTATCCCCTCAAATTCATATGTTGAAGCCTTAACCCGTCTTGTTACTATATTTAGAGACAGGGCCCTTAAAGAGATAATCAAGGTTAGATGAGGTCAGAAGAGTAGGCATTAATCTAAGAGGGCATGCACAGATGAAAGGCCATGTGAATACATAGCAAGAAATTATGTCTGCTAGCCAAGGAGAGATACCTCAGGAGAAGCCACACCTGTTCACACCTGGACTTCCAGGCTCCAGAATGATAAGAAACTAAGTTTCTGTTGTTTAAGACACCCAGTTTGTGGTGGTTTGTCATGGAAGCAAACAAGTACAGATACAGATCTATCAAATTTAGGTCTTCTACTTTTTTTAGAAGGAATTTTCTTAAGACATTGAGATACCATTTCTTGCGTAACAAATTGGCAAAGGATTTTGAAAGATAAACTTGGTAGTAGTAAGGATGTGGAGATACAGACTTTCTCAATCACCGCTGGTGAGAATCTAAATTGGTACAACTTTCTAGAGGGAATTGGTAATAGAAATGAAAGGTCTTAAAGTGTACTTACCATTGTTTTTTCATAATAGCAAAATATTGGCAATGACTGATGGCAGGTCGTATTTCCTAAAGATGGAAGCACCACTATATCCTATTTCCATGCTCGCCTTGACATGTGATGCTGGCACTCCTCCACTGAGAGGCAGCATCTATTCCCTCCCCCCGAACCTGGATAGACCTTTGTTGTTGCCACAAGCAAGAGAAGCCAAGGCGTGTGACTTCCAAGGCTAGCTACCATCTTGGCCCCTTGGATAACTCACACTGTGAAATCCAGCGTCCAGGCCATGAGGACGCCTACCCAGCTCTGCGGAGAGATCTGTGCGCAGCGGAACCGAGGCCCCCAGCCCCCAGCCAGCCCCAACAGGCCCCACTGTGAGTGTGTGAACTTAGAAACTGATCTTCCAGTCCCAGGTGGCTGCAGCCCCATAGAGACCCCAAGCGAGAACTGTCCCGCTGAATCCTTCTCAAATTTCTGACCAACAGAAAGAAATAAATTTGTCTTGATCTTTTATGTTATTACATTTTGGAGTAATTTGTTACACAGCCATATATAATTAACATGCAACCTATATGCCCATCAATAGTGAACTATTTAAATATATTACAGTATGTACTTACAATGAAACACTGTGCAGCTGTTTAAAAAAAATGAAGAAGTTTTTTATGTGCTGACATGGAAAGTTCTCCAAAAGAATTTGTTAAGTGAAAACTGCAAAGTGCAGAGTAGTATATAGAGGGTACTAACTACCATTTATGAAAAAAAGTATGTGTATACATATAGTCATTTATATGTACATATGCATAGTTATGGAGAATATATTCTCTCTCTCTCTCTCTCCACACACACACACACAAACACACACACACACTATCTGTGGGAAGAATGTAAGATGTTGGTAACAGTGATTCCCTCTGGGGAGGGATCAGAGGTGGGGAGATGACTTTTCAAGTTTGACCCTTAGGAAATAAAGTTTAAAAGTTTTAACTATTGCTTCCTCTTCAGTTGAAGCATTCAGTTCAAGAAGATATTTTACTTCTAGGCATGTATAATTAGTAAATAATCATGACAAAGATTTAGCTCTGAGAAATTATGAAGTGTTATGGTATAATCTTATCTTTAAAGTAAATTTTATCACATAAATGGAGATGGAGATGGTGATGGAGGTTAAGACACACAGAAAAATACAGAGAGATATAGAGACCAAAACGTTAACAATAATTATCTCTGCCAGGTCAGATTATCTTCAATTTTGTTTTCTTCTGTTCCAAG